TCATGTCCTTTCTTCCTTCCTGGTATCTCCAGGTTCCATTTTTTATCATTTCCTTTTTGTTTAATTTTACTTTAGTCATGCTTTTAGGATGGGTCTGCTGTGAAAACTTCTCATAGTTTTCCTTCATATGAGGGGAAGGAAGGTTTTCCCCTCCATTTCTGAAGGATATTTTCACTGGGTATAGAATTCTGGGTTGACAGTTCTTTTCTTCCAGCACTTGGAAAATGTGCCACTTATTTGTGGACTCCAAGGTTTTTGATAAGAAACTCATAGCCATTCTAATTGTTTTGTCCCTGGAGGCAATGTGTCATTTCCCTTTGATTGCCTTTGAGACTGCTTTCCTTTGGCTTTTGTTTTTGGTTTTACTATTATCGATCTTGGCATGGATTTCTTTGGTTTTACCTTATTTGGGCTTCACTTTGCGTTTTGAATCTGTTGATTTATGTCACTTTGGCAACTTGAGGAATTAGTCCATTCCTTTTCTTGGAATATTTTTTTCAGTCCCACTCACTCTCTTCTCCTGGTATTCTAATGGTATGACTGATTTTTTCATTATAGTTCCACACATCTCTTTTTCAGTCTACTTGTTCAGCCTGGGGAATTTCTACTGTTTCATTTTTAACCCACAGAGCTTCTTATTCTCATTATGTTTCACTTCTAAAAATTCCATTTAATTCTTCATACTTCTTTTCTGAGATTTTCCATTTTTCGTGTTTCAAGCACATTTATAATTGCTCACTGAAGCATTTCTTTAAAATACTTTAATAAAATGCTTTAAAATATTTGTCAGGTAGGGATGAGAAATGTACAGCATCAGTAATATAGTCAATGGTATTGAAGTAGCATCTACTGAATGGTGACAGATGGTAGTTATGCTTGTGAGCACAGTGTAATGTACAGAATTGCCAGATCACTATGCTCTACATCTCAAACAATGTTAACACTGTGTTTCAACTACAATCCAATACAAAAAATTAAAAATAATTTAAGTATTTGTTAGATAATTCTACACCCGTTATTATCTCTTAATTATGTTTGAAATCTTCTTGGTTCTTGGTGTGATGTGATTTTTCATGTCTTGATGTGACATGAAACCTGGTTGAATGTTCTAAGATAAAAACTCTGGGCTGTGGCAGGCCTTCTCTGACCCCGCTCCTGTGAGTGAGGGAGCACTGCTCTTTATTGTCTGGTGGGGGTAGGAGTCCAGGCTCTTCACGGGTGACAATCAGGCTGTAAGGGAAAGAGGCACCCCATTACTGCTACCCAAGGGGTCCCCGCTGGCATTGCTTTGTAACAACTGATCAAAGGGCTGAAAGTTCTGACTCTCCGCTAGGGCTCCTTGGATACCACCCGCCGCGGGAAGCGAAAGGGAGATGGGGTCATTACCATTCACTGGAGAGGCAAGTCCTGGATCTGGCCATCTAGTTCCTAGTTCCCACGAGGCCTTCCCTGAAACTACTGAGAAGAGGGGTGGGGAGGAGTTCGAGGTATCTCGTTCCAGCCAGGCAAGGGGAACTTCAGGCCCCACTTGGCCTTTGCTGGCAGGAACAGGGGATGGGCTGCAATTTTCTCACATAGTATTTGGCTGGAGTAGAACCATTATGGTTTGAAAGTTAGTTCTGCCTTACCAGGCTTCCTTTTTTCTGGCACGTTTGCTACAGTGAACAGGTTTCAGGAGGTTTGACTGTGTGAACTGGCATTCTAGATTGCTGGCTTCTCAAATCTGGGATATAGGACGCAAAAAGAAAATCTAGGGAACTCACCACTTGTATTAGTTTCCTCGGCTACCCTAACAAAATACTGGAGACTGGGAGGCTTAAACAACAAAAACTTATTTTCTCAGTCTCAGAGGCTGATAGTCCAAGTTCAAAGTGTCAGCAGATCTGGTTTCTCATGAGGTCTCTCTTGGCTTCAGAGGACCGCCTGCTTGCTGTGCCCTCACTCGGTCTTTCCTGTGCACATGCGCACATACGTCATCTGATTTCCTCCTTATAAGTATGCCAGTCAGGAAGGATTGGGGTCCATCCTAAAGATCTCCTTTTAACTTAATAACCTCTTTAAAGACCTTATCTCCCAATATAGCCTACATTTTGAAGTCTGGGGGATTAGGAATTCAACATGTGAATTTTAGGTGGGACACAAGCCCACCCATTCTGACACTACTGTATCCCTCCTCAGGTCCTGAGAGACCTAGTTGTCTGCTTTATTCTATGCATTAACAAAATCCTCCTATATGTGTCTTACACATCGTGTCCACAATTTTAAATTGTACTTTAGTGGGAAGAAAAAGCAAAGTCTGCCTACTCCATCTTCTTGGAAACAGAAGTCTCCTCCTTACGTTTTTCTTTATGTTTGCTTCTTTAAGAACTGGCCTTCCACGGTTGGTAAGTGGTAGGGTCAGCTGTTCTGACGCCGCACCCTGGGTCTTTATACCATGTCACATTAGTTTCACTTCAAATAGAATGTGTACATTATACAGAAACACAAAATTCAAAACGTACCCAAATAGCAAGACTTTTGACAAGCATTAAAGTTCTTGAACAAACCCTTTTACCAACATGGAAGGAGCTTACAAGTCATCTCTCCGTCCTAACTGCTAAAAACCAGAACGGCAAAAAAACCCAACATCCCTTCTTAGAGGCAACAGAGCAGTGAGGTCTCAGGGCAACTTGCTGTCCCCCAAACTGAAGACTGACTGGCAAATGTACAGAGTTGCAACTTACTGGAAGGGCAGGCTCTGAGTGAACGAGGGCTGAGGGATAACCATCTCAACTGTAACTGACAAAATGCTGGAGGCAAGATGTGGACAGTGAGTTAAAAAAAAATCCAGGTGGAGCCTATCATAGGGGACCCTGCAATTTGGTGAGTGTTACCTCTAGGATCTCAACCTGGTGTTCACAAGTAAAGAGCAGATTTTAGTGCTCAGAAGACAAAAAGGAACTGTTTTGAAGGACAGCAGAGGACTCTTTTCTGCCTAACAACACCTGCCCTTGGGAGGCCCTAGTTCCTCAGTCTAACCTGCTGGGGTTATACCAGAGCCTGACCTGAGGAAAGGGGAAATCATGCCAGCTCTGCTAGATGCTGTCACACTTAAAAGAAGAAAAAAAAAAAAAAATTGAGATTTTTTGATCATGAAATCCCTACTTTTCCTTCCCACAGCACAGCTGTAGATGACAATGACCCTTGTTCCCCAATGTGCCTAGGGTACAAATAGGACACAGTCAAGAATTTTTAATACAGAAAAAACAGGTGGGTTCATCTTGGTAATTAGGACAAAGCCCTTCCGGAGTCTTTGAAGCAGTGTGTATCCCCAACTCCGGATACCATATGTAGTAAATGGTTCTCAAGGCAATGCAACTCTTCAATTCCCTATCGAATATAACAATCGACCACAGAGAAAGTCTAGGTAATACACACGAATCCCTTTCATATGCAAATTGAAACATTAAAACTCCTAGCTCCTCTGCCCAGGAAATCACAGAAGACTTCCCGGATTTCCCACAGTCTCTTAGGAGGCCAAATTGTAACTCATTGTCGCGCCCAGACCAGCCTTTCACTTAATCCAACTTCAAAACTGAGAACAAAGTCAAGTTCCCAGTCCTACTCAGAATTATCAGAGGGACAGCCCACCCAGTGCCAGCGCCAGGACCGAAGACACACCGTGGCTCACGGAGCAGCCGTAGAGCCAGGCTCACTGCTGAAGAGCAGGCAGTTGAAATCTAGCAGGTTCTGACTCTGTGATGTGCACCTTGCTTGAGCTCACTCACGGTCATTGAAAGAAGAGGTGATGTACCCCAGCGGTGACACCCAAGTCAGGAGCCAGTCCTGAAATGCAGGGGCACCGTTATCTAACCAGCCACCTGTCCCTCCCCAGGCTCCCTCAGTACCACTGTCCTCTCTCCCTGGGACAGTCATGCACTCAATCCAAAGCTCACGTTATTTCCCTGGATGTATTACCCTTTTCCTTAGGGGGAATTAGACCTTACCCCCCTTCCCCTTCTTCCTTGTTCCCTGAAAACTTTTATGAAAATCACGGGGAAGAAAGTCAAAAGGACTCCAGCATTCTAGACATGAGCAAAAAACAAGATAAGAGAATTCTGAACCCCAGGGCTTTTGGGTACCCCCAAACTGCTCTGCCCAGCTTAAGATTAGAAAAGTTCCCTCCAGGTCTCTGCTCATTCTGCGATGTCTGGATGCTCCCAAACTTCTCAGCTCTGTTCACCTCTGCCCAGTAAATGGTGTATCGCACAGCTGGAGCTACAATAATGACAATTAAAATAAGAAACCTTCTGTGAATCTGATCTAGCAACAATCCCAAGCTCCAGAATCTTCTGGGGAATTTAGTGTGACAAATAAAACAAAACCACAGCTTCCTTGGCCTGGTCTCAGCAATTCTGATAGGAAAAACATGTCCAATTAAAAAAAAAAAAAAAAGTCCCCAAGTGATTGCGAGGGGCAGGCGAGTCTGTCTTACCCTGGCTGGTTATGGAAACAGGCATTCTGCATAACTGCTCAGGCTCTCCTGGTGCCAGGTCAGGCTCTGTGGCTGCCGTGCAGAGCCAGCTAGCTTGGAAAATGCAGTGGCCTGAACTCCCGGCATTGTTCTCCCATTTATTCCAAAATGAGTATGAAAATCCTAACTCAAGAGCTTGAAAGAATTCTTAATGAAAGCAAAAGCTCTCAAAGTTTTCTCTCAATGTGCCTCGTTTACAGATTTTACAACAAATGGCCCTTCTTTTTCTCCGTCTGCTCTGTGCTGCCAGGGAAGGACCTGAAGCGATTCAAACCCTGGGTGGGACTAGAAAAGCCTCTCAAAGCAGCAGTTAAGCTGATATGCAGATTCAACCTCAGGAGCAGAGCAGTGCTTTTAACACCCACTCATCAAGTTACCTTTACCAGCCTGGATGTTTTTGGAGTTTTCCTTTAAATTCTACAGTATTTTTTTCAGCAATCCGACGATACACTGTGCGAAGCAGAGAGCCAACCTTTAAAACTGCTAGTGTGTTCCAATATTTTATTAAAATAGCATATTTAACCACTTTTAACCAAGAATACGTTAACTTTGTCCCCCCACCCCCACCCCAAATACGCAGCACAACACAGTAGTGATTTCAAATATCCTTGATTGTGATAACCAACGGAAGTATTTCAAAGTCAAGTTTGCAACTAAAAACTAGACCTTGGAAAAATTCTGAATTAAAAGAAACATAAAGCTCTCAAACAGAATTCTTTAATCTGCCTGAAGAATAAATGCCGGTGTGTCACCCACCTGACAATCCTGCTAAATTTTTTGTTTGTTTGTTTGTTTTTGTCCTTTATGCATAGTATAATGTCTCATTTATAAGTACCCACTTTTATAAATAAAATTGGCATTTTCACCCCATTTAATGTTCCTTTTCAGCTTCACAAAGAAACCAGTAAATAAAACTGTCAATGACAGTCACGACATATGCTCTCATAGCAAGATAAAAAACGTGAAAATACGCAAAGATGCATCTACCCTATTTTACATAAAAAGACAGGTTTTAAAAAGTGCAAGGCAAAATTTGCAGTTTTCTGAGGGGAGTTTTTAGGCACATCCATTTCTTTAAAGCAAGCTTCTGAATGAAATTCCAGTTTGTTCTTCATGACACCTGTTTAAGTCTTTCTTTAAAAAAAAAAAAAAAAAAGAAAAGAAAAAAGAAAAAAAAAAATACATCCCATCAAGTGTGAAACGGAATCTCCCGTCCCAAAAAGTGAGGTTTTCAGTTATGGCGTGTCCGTCCTTTTTTTATCCTTGCGGGCTTTGGTTTGGGGATGTATTGATTATTTGCCTGGTACTCGAGTTCTTTACGGAAGTAGTGGATGGCTTTGTTTAAACCTTCTTCCAGCGGGACCTGTTGAAAGAGAAGGGGAGAAGGGGAGACAAGGTCACTGATGCAGGAAACGCCAGACAGCCCCGGGGCTTCGCAGGAAGAAGTGCTGACGAGCGCTCTGCCCTCTGCAGAGCCACTCACAGCACCACGGGAGGCTCACACGGCATCGCGGCTCGCAGGGAGAAGGTCCTGCCAAAGCTGCTTTCAGAACGCACTGGGCGATTTGACAAATTACACCCCTGACGGACAGAAGACAGGCTCTCATCCCCAAAGACCATGAACTACCTCTTGCTGATCTGGGGTCTATCCAGTTTGAATCAACCACAAAGAACGCCTGAAAATAATGCCTGCGAGTGTGTGCCTTTCTTTCGGAAGTGCATGATGGAGGGAGAGTGCCTTGGGAAGCACCTGTGTGACCCACACACCTCACTCTCCCACGGGACCTAACAGACCGAGTCTGAGAAGAAGCTACGACGACACCATGGAAGCCCACAGGAAATCCCAATAGCTGCCCATGAGAACAAGGGGAGAAGTCGGGAGCGGAGCACTGCCAAGGGCCACCCGGAAATGATAGGGGAGAAGGCTCTGTTACCTTGACGGCGGTGATGGTTTCATGGGTAGAGAAATACATCAAAACTTACCAAGTTGTACATTTTAAATACAGGCAGTTTGCTGTACAAATTGGCCTCAAGAGCACCGTCAGAAAGACACATATGGAAGAATCAGGATGGATATACGACTAAGCGCTTCCTTGGACAAGGTCCCTCAAAAATTACTAATGAGCCGGAGCTAGCAGGAAGAGAAACTAGTGGTAGAGGCCTCATCTTCTAAATGTGTTAGAATGTTACACATCAAAACTCCAGAACAATAAAAGACCTACATACCTCACTAAGATAAAAGCAATAGTTACTACATGGCAAGTGTGCATTTAGCTTTTCAAAAAATATTTTGTTTAAAACACGGGGGCTCTACTTACAAAAGGACCCATGGCAAATGCCTTCTCAAAACGAACACGTGCACTTGCTGCTTTGTGCAGCGGGAGTTCTTGGGTATGGTCTGGGCGTGACCATATTTTTAGTGCACTTGACAAATCCCTGTAGCCCTCAGATCCCTCAGAGCTGTAGTTCCCAGGATAAAAAAAGATCGGACTGGAACTCTCGAGTCCCTTTAAGACCCAACACTGTGGGATTCCATTCACTTAGCTCTCTGGAGGGTAGCAGAAAAGAACACCTCAAAACACGACTGTGGGAGCTTTTTGGTATATGGACCATGTTGGGCTCAGGGTCTTGAACAAGTGCAGGGTGAGGCTCTCTCTGCACTCCTCTGACCAGTCCAGAGACAGGCCATCCCAACAGAAACTCAGCTGTCCTGAGTCCCCTCCCAGAGAGCTCAATGACCAGGGAGCACTGACTCTCGCAGCAGGGGAGGGCACTAGACACGGACACCAGGTACACCGTCACTGGCTCTCTCATCTCCCATCTATTCTTCTAAGGGCCCATTCACCATTCTTAAAAATCATTTACTGTCCTCTAAGAGGACTACATGCCCCTCTTCCCTATTAAGATGGTATTTAAGCCTAATTCTTATGCCACCCCTTGAGTAACTTATGCTTCCCTGGGTATCTCCCGTATCTACCTGCGGGACGCACGCTACTCTCGCTGCATTTCCCCGCAGGCCACAAGGAGTCTAACTTAGTCTAGGAGCAAGAGAAAGGTATGGAGGGTCACTGCTCCCTGGCCTATGGTGTCTCACCCTTCCAACCTGGTGTTCCGCCTTCCTGGGAACTGGGGTGACCCTGCTTGCCCCGGTTCCCACAGCAACCTCGCCCAGCCCTGCATGTCCAAGGACATCCTAGGCCAAGTGGAGACCGGCAGGTCAGTCAGGGCAACCCAGAGAGCACATGGCCATTGCCCGAAACACTTCTATCACAGAGTAAGCCGTGTGCGTGTGCAAGTTTACAAAAGCAGACTCCACAGTGGGCTCCCGTGTCCCTGTCACAGAATGAGACACACAAAAGGAGAAGCCACAGAACCCGCTGGAGAAAACCCTGCATCCCTGTCCGCCCAAGCACGCTAGCGCCTGCAAGGACCTGTCGTGGGCCTTTGTCGATGGGACAGTACGGGGCCCTGCACTCACCACGGGCTCCCACGCCAGCATCATCTTCGCTTTTCTGATGTCTGGTTTTCTTTTCTGTGGGTCATCCTGGGCTTCTGAGAGAAACTGAATCTCACTTCCACTACCTGCATTAAGAGAAAAGAAAGGTAAGTGAAACACAAACCACTCCAGGTGGGGACATTCACTGTAATCCTCAAAGTGAAACCCCCTCCAGGCAGTGAACAAGGCTGTAGGGGACAGAACACATTTCCCACGGAGCCACTGAGTCACAAGGGGGACCGGACCTCTGGCCCCAAGAGAACTGGGTGAGAGGCAGTCACTCCCGAGGGAAAGGGCAGGGCTCCCTAGCTGCCCGCCCCCAGGCAGACCACCCACCATCAGCTAACACAGCAGGCACGCACAGAGCTAGACTCCAAAGTCAGTAAAAGTGGCAAATGTTGTGTGTGGTCACCTGTGAGGACGATGGCCCGAGGGAGCCACACCTGAAGCAGTCATGCACTGCAGGAGCCCCTGGTCCAGAAGTGGCCTGTCATCTTGTTTAACCAAGTAGAGAGCAGGAGGAAATGACCGTGGGCCAGTTCCTGGCTTATGCTTTACGGAAGACCTAACCCTTTATGCACCTGCAGGTGGGAGCTCTGAGCCAACACGTAAGGTGTCCAGCTACCCTGCTGCAGAGACCACGTGCAGCAGACAGAGAGCCTGGCTTGTCCAGCATCCTAGCGGGGCCCAGACCCTGCTGGCCAGCAGAAGGAAGCCACGCAAGGGACCACCGGCAAAGACCTGCAGGAGAAACCCCCAGCGGAGGCCAGCCCTGAGCACAGAACCACAGAAAACACAGCAGTTGCTACTGTAAGCCCCTGCAGTTCAGGGTGGCATGCTACTCAGCCTTTCACAGAAGCACAGTGATTATTAATGCCTGAGGATCTTATTAAGATGCAGATTCTGATCTGGAAGACACAGGTGGGGTGTGAGATTCTGCATTTCTAACAAGCGTCTGGTGACGCCAAAGATGCTGGCCCCGGCTCCCCACTAGGGGTAGAGGTTTTGGATGGCCTAGATCCTGGACAAACTGTTACCTGAGCACATCCCTGCCTTACCTAGGATGAGACAGGCAGACCCAGAGTGGGAAAGCTGGGGAAGCAAATCTTGGGGAGGCTGTTGGGGCGACACGATTCTGCAATTTATGACTGAGGAAGACCAGCCCCTTCCTGTCCAAGTGTCCAGAGCTGATAAGAACATGCTGGTAGATGACAGCTCCGAATCAGGAAGGACAGCCCTGAAGAATCAAATCAGCTGAGCAGGGGTGTGGGTATCAGGCTTACCCCAGTCTAGTCTAGGGAGCCACACTCCAATCTGGTTGTGTCCTGTATCAAACGTCTTGATCAACCATGGAAAACAAAGCACCCTCCCCAAGAGCCAGACTTCCCAGAGCTCTAATAAGCCTGCTGACATGACAAAGGGCTCACCCCGCGTGCATGTGCAACACGAGGGCTGTCTGAAACACACAAGCTCCTTACGACTTTCAGAGCCCGCCCCTGGGGTTACTCCCAGTGTCTACACTGCCGCCAACGTGTCACGGTCAGGTTGGCCGGCACTGCCAAGAACTTGAAAGTCGCCAACAGATTCTATCAGAAACACACAAGCTGGTACTGGGTACCGCTCCCACTTGGTTCTTTGAAATCTCATTGTCATCACTGCCCAAGTTTGGAAATCAAACACTTGTCACCAGTGTGGCGCGATCTACATAGTCCCACCTCAAGCACCAGGAACAAATCTACTTCTCCCACTCCACCCCCACCTGCTGAGGTGCTCGTGAACACAACCCACCCCCTGCATTGTTATCTTTCCATTACTTAATTAAAGAATCAGAAGACAATTAAGTGTTCCTGATAAAGTTCTGCTTTTTATCCAATTCAATTAGCTTGTATTAATTACACATTTTCTAATCAGGTTGTTATTAGCTGATAGGGTGAGTGCAGCCAATTTCATTCATTCGGTCTTACTTACCAACAAGGCTTTTAATTAACTGAGCAAACTCTAGGATTGTGTGTTCTTCCGGGTTCCCCTAAGGAAGAAACAGTTGCTGGTTATAAGTGTAATCACAACAGCAGAGACCGCCACGCAAACCCCATGCATGTCTTCCAAGCACCCACGGGCTGACTCCGGCATTTGGAAAATCGCAAGGCTTCTGCCTCTTCGTGTTTCCTCGGGCGCTTCCTGATCGGGATGATGACTGATCCACCCAGTGAAGGGCTAAACTGTGTCTGGTCCTGCTTTTGTCCTCTAGACTAAGTGTCTGTTGACAAGAATGCCCCTCAGCTAGGTCAGGAGCTTCTAATACGGACACACGGTACATGGCCAAGAGGCAGGACAATTTCCGTACCTAACGTTACTGAAACTGCATTGTCACTTTGCATAAAAGTTTGGGTCTGCAAAACAAGCCCTCCTAAGACAATATAATTCCCTCGGGGTGCACTATGTCAACAACTTAAGCAGTAACAGACTTGCAAACAAGCACATGGGAGCAGTAAAGGAACTGAGATGCACTCGGCAGGTGAGGGCTCCGGGGAGCCAGAGGGAAAGCCTCCATGTGGTTTATAGTGTAAGCATGCCCTTAGGGGACATCAAAAAAAGCCATTTTTCTCCTTCCTTGCATCACACAAGACAGCGGCCACTGGCCCTCTTCCCTTCCCAATTTGGCTACTCTTACTTGCCACTCCCTCCCCCATCGTAAGAGACCATCATCAAGTGTGACAAACAGGTGTCCCACATACGCTGCACTTCCAAATTCCTGGTCTGGCCCGAAGCTGGCAGGGACCAGGTCCTACATGTGAGCACCAAGAAAGGATTGACTTGCAAAGTGAAGCGATGGGAACTTGGGAGGGAGGGGCCCATCTTTGTCAGGGCTATTCACAGACACTCTTCAGACTCTGGAGAACAGGTTCCTACCAGGGATGGGAGTTCTCAAAGGGCCCTGGGTCAAGGCCCCCTTGGAAAGAAAGAAGGAACCCAGTATCTAAAGAAAAGACTGTGGCTCTTTGGGGATTGGGGGACATCACTGACAACACCCCCATTTCAAAGGGCCTGGAGCAAGAGCCAGTGCGAAGGTGGCATGGCCTTGACAGTGTCAGGCAGGTAAGTGCTCAGAAGAAACGGAGGCTCCCAAGACATGTCTCATTCTATTTCTAATTTCATGTTTCTTGAGAAGTGCATGAAGAAGCGGTCAACAGCCCAACAAGGGAGTTACACCTCCACTTTCCTATTTCGTAAGAACTCCCTCCCAACTCAGTGAAAACGGATGCGACAGAGTATGTTTCCAATTGCTGGTTACAGAGAGAGGTTTCTGAGTAAAGTGGTTTTGAGGAATCAGCAGGCACGGCCACCCCTGTGCACCTTAAAACCTTGTAGGAAGCCGGAGAGGTGGTTTTTGGGAGAAGAACCTGAAGCTGACTCCCAGGTTTGCCAAGGGGAGGGGACGGCTCCCAATAAGCTAATGTCAGGGGCCACTGGCAGGAGCAGAACATCTAGAATGATGGGCAGTCTGCTCTGGACACTTCACGTTTTCAATCAGATGGAGTGAAGCTCTTCAGAGGACAGGGAGTGAGAGGGTAGGAGGACTGCAGACAAGAACACGAACTCTGGCTGAGAGCTGGGGAGAAGGGGACTCAGAGGGCATGACCCTGCCTTCTCAATCCTTGGAAAGTTACCCAACTGTGGCTGCACTGGACTAGCTTGAATGGCCCCCACCCTGAGAAGTAAGGCCAGTGGGTAGCTCACAGAGAACGAGATTTTAGTTCTAAATATAAGGAAACGCTTCCTGCCAGTGAGAACCGGCCAGAGACAGAATAAAGTCCTTTGAAGAGACACACATTCACCAAGCAATACAAGTGCTTAGAAACATGGAGCAAAAGAACCTTACGATCCCTCCAACAGGAAGACTCTGGGGCCCTAGGAAGCCATGAAGAAGCAGCAACAAAGGAGCCCCGAGCAGGCGGCTGAACTACAGACATGATCAGAACCTGGGAAACGTTCTTAACTCCTCGATCTAAAGCTCACTTAATTCTCAGGGAGATCAGATGACACCGAACAACGGAGAAAGGAACGCACACAAAAACCGTCTATGGACCGACATCAAAGGCTTTCACAAATGGTTAGACCCAGGCCCTTCAGGATGATGGTGATAAACACTCACCTGTGCCGTGCAGACGTGCTACTCCTTGGCACACACAGATCTGGGGATTCCCCCCCTCTACCATTCAGCAAGCAAACACACGCATGCAAATAAAGCAAAGGCTGCGGCTCTTCGTGGTTTCACAAAAGCACGAAACTCTGGCCTGTTCCGGGGGGCGTGGGAGGGGTGGCCGTACTCACCAGGTTGACCGGGCTGCTGACGTTGCTGTTCATGAGAGCCACGAGGCCGTTCACCAGATCGCTGGAAGAGAACGGAAGGCCGGGTCAGGCGCCGCCCGCCGCGGACCCGCGCCACCTCCCGGAGAGAACCAAACCCCACATGGAAAGCCGATGCCAAAACAAAATCCTGCAAATAAGCGGGGTTGGGAATGCTCAGGTATTCATGGGTGATGATATGAGGTCTGGGATTCGCTCGCAGCGCGTGGGGTGTAGATGGCTAAACGGGAAACGGGAATGGAAGTGAAATGGGCAAGTTCTCTACTTCCGTCTATTTCTGAAACCCTTTAACGACCGAAGAAAAGAAATAAAAGAGACAAACGCCCCCAAAAGATGGTGTTAATACAGCTTCTGATGTTTAAACGTGAGCCCACGTAGCTGGTCCATATGAAAAAGCAATGATTAAAAAAAAACAACAACAGTTCCGACCCACTGAAATGAGTGCGCTCCAGTATGTAATTCTCATACTGGTAAATCACAGATAAAGCCAAACAACACAGTGTTGAAATCAACCGGACCGCTGCTCCCTACGCCCTCACCTTCAATTCCCCCCTGAGCCCCCTGCCGCCCCCCGAGACTCCTCGCACGGGACGGACGGCGATCTGGGTGTTTCAGATGAATCGTGACCGACGGGGCCATGGAGGTGAAGAGGAGTAAGCAAACGTTCGCTTACCAAGGTTTGGTTCTTATTTTCAGAGGCTTTTAAAGTGTGGCTCTGTCAAAAAAAAGTTACTTCGTAAAAATGACACCTCACTGCTGCTCACGAGCACGTTCTCTACGTTTGCTTTCCGTCAGCCGTACTTCTCAGAAGGCTCTGAAAGCTCTGTTCTGCTGATCCCAACGCAGGCTGTGCTGAAACCTTCCCCTCCTCCTCTCCATTACCAGCAAGGAGCAGGATGCTATGGTCAACTTCAAAACAGAACCTGTTTTTGCTTTCCTTTTTGTCCGAGAAAAAAAATTTGGGGGGGGGATATTTGGCAAACTGTTTTCTGAATTTTTGTTTCTGATGATTGGGTGTTTTAAGTGAACATCCCTAAAGTCCGTTCCAGTCTCATAGGTCAAGCACAGATTCAAGTAACTGCTGACTCCGGAGGACTTTTCTAGAAACTGGCAAAAAAAGTCACTTCATCACGATGGCAGTAATTAGTATTAGTAATTAGTACAACATGTCTCACATGGCACAGGTCTCTGCATATTCGTCAGGAGACGTTAAAAGCTGCCACTCACCAGCATCCACGATCCATTTTAATATGGAAACGGGGGTGGGAGGCATCCACACGAAGCCAGAAGACAACAGATTCCCACAATCATTCTCATGGGGCGGGGTGGGCATATCTTTTATATAATCGAAATGGCAACTTTTAAGGTCAAAATTGCATAGATCACACCCATTTAACCTGAAGCTCTTTAAAAGTGTCATTTTGACAAAGTGACTTAAAAAAAAAAAAAAAAAAAAAAGGACAGCATGCCTTTGTTATGGGGATGAGGCTGTTATCTGCCCGGGGAAAACATCAGACGCAGTCATGCCAAGATGTGAATGCGTATGGTATGGTCACCCGGACCTCAGGAGCCGGGAAATGCGGCTTCAAGGCAACTGTGGATTCTGGAAGCAGTTAACTTAGGGAGGGAACTGCAGATTCAGACATTGTGCACTTTTAACTACAAAATTAATTGTTTCTTAAAAAAAGCCAGCTTCTTAAAACTAGCACAACTGTACATCATCTCAGTGGAGTCCTGAATAACAAAACCAGGAAGTCGGGAAAGCTGTGCGAGCTTGGTACGCCCTAGAAGCACACGAGGGCGGGGCGCGTACTGCAGGCATGTTCGCCCCTGAGCTGGGCTGGCGTGCAGCCTGTGCATCACTGAATTCTTAACACCTTTTAATTACCAGCAGAGAAAGTCTGCTTTTAAATAAATTTTGCATGTGCTGCCTTTGAAGTCAATGAGCACAGTTAAGGAGAGGGAGCTCTAACTGCTCTGCCGTTTACTGCCATCTCTCTGACGCCTCACAAGCTGTCCTAGCCAGAGAAGTTTGGGGACCACCAGTGAGGTGGAACTCACAGATGACCGCACAACTCCCTCATGATGTGCACAGACCGGGGGAGGGGAGGGGTTGGGTGGCCGAAAGTGTGTTATTATGAGAAAATAGTACTCAATACACAAAGTCCAGTTAAGATGGTCCAGATACAGAAACGTGACTTGATGCTTTGTCTCGGAGCACATGGTTCCCGGGGTAAGTGCCTTGAAATGAAAACAGCCCTAGAGGGATCCTGGTATTTCCTGGTTAAGTCTCTTCTTGAGATATTCGGACACCAAAGTGTGCCAGTTTTATTTTACCCCCGGGCTTTGCGTCCTGCTTAACAAGACACTCATGGCTGGGGAGGAAAAAACACTGACTGTGATATATGTTTATTCATAGCTTTCTTTCAGATTAAATGTGACAACTGACACTTTTGGGGGAAAAAATCCACAGTGGCTGCTTTAATTTTTAATTAATTAATTATTATTATTATTATTTGCTAGCACTTCTTTTTCTCAAAGAGACTTCTCCCCTAATACGACAGAAGTCTATGTGGTCGCTGTGGCTGAGGTGGCCCAGACGTGCACCGCCACTGCACCACTTCACAGTGGGATGGCCTCAGGACACAGCAGGAGCAGCATTTTCCAACTGATAGGCATTCCTGGGTATTTACGTTACAAGGTGAAAACACAGAACTGGATTTTACAATGATTCAGGTTACCAGAAACCTGTACAGAATTCATAGTTGACAGTGTCATGGGGGGAAATATTTTGTTCTATGCAAGTGATTATAGTGATATAGTTTATATAAACTCTTTTCCCAGAACTCAAACTACATTTTAAAATGTCACCAACTGAACTTACTAACAAGCACACGAGACTTAGGAGGGTTAATGAGAAAAGGATAATAATTACCACCGTGACTATGAGGAGAGGTTCTCAAATCTATTTTTATCTGCATAAAATCTCATCCACATAAAATCTGACATGAGGACGGTCTACATTATCTTTCCCGTAATGAGGACAATCTCCCCCGCCCCAGAAAGCCACGTTTAAAGTGGGTCTGATTTCACCACCTGTAGGTTTGCTGGGTTTAGATTAAGGACAGCTGTCCAACTGGTGTGATCTGAAATCAAGTCGCCCTCAGGAACTGGGCAAGTTTCCCTAAGAAACACTAGGGGGCAGTAAAAGATCAGCATATGAGTTATAAATGGCACAGACTTACATGTACACTTTTTTTTTTTTTTTTTTTTTTTGAAGATTTTAAGTAATCTCTACACCCAACCTGGGGCTCGGACTCACAACCCAGAGTTGCATGCTCCAGCAGCTGAGCCAGGCAGGAGCCCCTATAATTTTACCTTTTAAACAGAGAACCTCAAGGGCTTTCCCACCTGAAAATTAAAATGGACTTTTAAACCATGCCATGGTAGAGATGCGAAAATAATGCACATATCCAACAGATGCGGGCCGTCGGGTCTGCACCACCTGCCGGAAGCAGTGCGGAGGCCAGCTGCCTTACCTGACGTACTGGAACGCCCTCGTCTGCGACCCGGACCCGTACACCTAGGATGAGAGCAACAGTTAGGGCCTCCCGAGAAAGCCACACCGTCATGGGAAAACGGGGTTCCTTAAAACTCCAGGGGCACAGACTGACCTCAGAACTGAGGCCGAAGGGCCAGTGATGCCACAACTCACTCCGTACTTCCGAGTTACGCCCCGAGAGTGGGACAGTGCGTGCACCCGCGTACCGGTCTGTCCTTCCAAGTCAGTAGTGGAAGGAGTTGGCATCTGTTACAGTCTTATGACGTGGCAGGGATCACGTTAGCCCAGTAGGGTGACAGACGCACATGCAAGCAGGAGGCAGTACCTAGAACCTGAGTCCTATACCCTGACTGCCCATCAGAACAGTGGGGCGCTCAGTCAGACTAGCCCAGAATCTCTAGGGAGGAGGCGGTGGGCGTCTTGGTACTTGGACAGCCCCGGATGAGTCTCACACGCAGCCAAGTCTGAGAACGACCCAGGAAACTGGACAGGAGACAGGGGTGACGGAAGGAAGGGGAAGGCCCTCGTGCTCCATTTGTGTCCCCTGTATGTTGCCACGTCTCCACGCCTGTACTCAGGTCCTTTCCTCCACAGACCTCTTGTCTAAATGTTCTCTCCTGGTGGCACTTCTCTGGCTCATTCCGCCAGCCAGAATGCAGGGCTCTGTCCTCTGTGCTCAGCCATCCTCCCCTCCTCCAGACTGTGTCATTCATACTTGCTTCCCACGGTGGGCTTTGGGGACAGGCACGGTGTCTGATTCACCTGCGCTCCAGGCACCCCACGTACCACCAGCGCTCCACAAACACGTACTGAACAACAACCTTGTGGGGTCTGCGGTGTATGCCACTTGCTTAGAATGGAGAGACTGAGGCAGAGGCTCTTTGAGGCACTCCCTCACCCTTAAAGAGAAGGAAGGAGCCAGGGGATTTTTGTTTGCTTGTTTGCACTGGTGGAAAGGGAGCAGCTGGGAGGAGGGACTGCCTTCTAGAACAGCCTGAAATCCATGCCTAGAACAGAACAACACCGGTGCCTCCTGTCACTGGCCACCTGATGCCAAAGAGGAGCCAGACGCCAATAGCTCTACAGCACATACCAGCCCCCAGTGGCCTTGCTTTCCAAGAGGGCTCCCTAGGGCTCAGGCCACCAGACTGGAGAAGCAAATGGGAAGGAACAGGAAAGGGAAGAAAAAAAATGCCTCATAGGTACCTGTTGCCTTTTTCATTTTTTTAAAAGCAGGTTTGGAAGGCTGCTTTTGTTATTTTTTTTTTTTTTAAGATTTTATTTATTTGACATAAATAAATATGGGGGTTGAGAGCAAGCACAAGCAGGGGGATGGCAGGCAAAGGGAGAAGCAGGCTCCCTGCTGAGCAAGGAGCCCAATGCGAGACTTGATCCCAGGACCCCGGGATCATGACCTGAGCTGAAGAGAGACGCCCAACCGACTGAGCCACCCAGGAGTCCAGGCTGCTTTTGTTACCTTAATAAGCGTTCACATATACACCAATGTCATAGGGGCATCGGCTTTACCTACTTAGGCAGAGGGCCCCCTGCAAGAAGAGGCTGGGGAACGGACTTACAGAGGTTTCTGTCTGCAAGACACAAGTGCAACAGCCAAACTCCGCACAGGAACACTGAAGAAAGGTGAACGAGCCTCTCAGAAGCAGACTCACCCTTCCTTGGCAGCTCTGCCGGAAGCCCACTGCCTAGTCTTGCTAACCCTTCTGACACCTTTGGGCAAGTCAGAAAGGAAACCACGGGCCCAGTAAGTAGGAAGGAGGATTGGGGTGGGGGAGGTCTGCCCACAACTGCATCATCCTGGAAATCCACCTGCACCTGAGGAGCACTGCAGGTGGGACACCTGTGTTATTTTCTGTACAACCTCGTTACAGATAAGGTCACGAGAGCTCTGAGCACCGCAGCACCCAGTGTCCAGGAGAGGAAAACCTACCGTGACTCCAAGTTCAGGAATCTCTTCCTCACCCCCTGCATCAATAATTTCAGAACCACCTGTAGCTCCAGCTATCAACTGTGGCCCACGGCAAGCTGGCACTGAGCCATTCTCCCGTCTCATTATAAAGCATCAGATTTGGGCAACACCCATTAGCAGCCTGGTGTACGGCATCCTTGACACACAGGTGTGTGGGTGTGGAGCTATGCTTCTGGTTCCCTGCGTGGACCTGCCGTTCCTGGTGTGCTTAGGGTCCCTGAGGGTCCTGACACTCCTCTGTCTCCTTCTTTGCACCTTCCCACCATGCCTGGCCAGGGGGTCTGCTGCTGTGGGCCGCCAACATTCACAGAGAGCCCACTGCCCGTGCAGAGCAACAATGAAGGCTTGGTGTTAGCTCCCATCAGGCCTCCAAGCTGTGATGCCCGAGAGCTGAGCCCACAGACAAACACACGGGGGCAGTGCTCCGTCCCATCGGATGTGTCAGAAGGAACATGACTCAAGGCTATGTGCTGGCTGAGCCCACAGCCAGGGGGAAGTGAGAGGGCTGCCAGGGTTAAGACTCTGAAGAATCACCTTCTCAATGAAAGGAACAAGAGAATCATGCTGGCGACATTCAGTGGCTTGAATGTCACAAACTGTCAGAGACCCAGAGGGTTAGAGTCTCATACTGGGAAGCCCAAAAAAATCCTGAAGACTGAATTAATCGGCGTCTGCGGAGGGTTTCACACAGCTGCCTTGTTCTGAGCGTCCTTCTGGGTGGGAGGCGGCGGGGGTGGGGAAGTGATGCCCAGAGGGCCAGGCTGAGTTCAGGCACCCCTCACTACCTGACAACATCACCACAAGGCTTGAGGGGCCTAGAGCTGAGCTGCAGGCACCCGTCGTCAGGGGAAGCTCAGGCTGCTCCCTGCAGGTCCAGGGACTAAAGGCCCTTAGGAGCACCCTTTTGCAGATACCCTGCACAGGAGGCAGCACAAGGAGAACTGCACGGGAGCACCACAGGGGAGCACAAAGAGCATCACAGGGAGCTTCCCTGGGAGCATAGGGAACGGGGAGGGAGGAGGGGGCAGGGAGGCATGGAGAGTACTGTGGGTCAGCATGGGGAGCACTATGCCAACCCCAACCCCACAGCTGGGCCTCAAGTGCCTCCATGAATGACGGCCCGAAGTTAGGGATCACTTCCAATACCACAATGCAGATACAAAGGGTAAATAAGATGTAGACTTTGGTCTAAGAAGTATGGTTTCTCCAAAATTTCCCTCTAGAAAATACAGCAAGGCTTTTTTAAAAGATACAGACTGTGACTCAAACCCCAATTCTGTCACATCTGGAAAAATTCACCTCAATCAAGTTGTTCTCTCTCATCTGCAAACTGGAATAAATCACGATAAGGTGATAAAACAGAATTAAACCATAATGCTCAAACGGGTACGCATGCGCGAGGGCTTTGACTGAGTGGTGAACTCCCGTCTCTTCAAAATATACTTAACGAGCTAGTTCTCCCTGAACCGTACCATCTATTTTCTAGACCTTGTAAACGAGAACACAGTATTTTCTGAGCTTCTATGCGCTCAATCTCAAGTATATAGCTTCTGTGCGTGACTTGCAGAACTCAGCAAAATCCTCCCGGAGTGACCCTGACAGACCTCTGTAACTCAAGATGTGGGGACAGGCCCAAAGAATGAAATCTGCCCTGAGGTAAGATAACAAAGGGCTTCAGGAAAAAGCAGCTGGAAGGCGAGTAATGACAGTAACCCAGCTTGGAAAAGGGAAGGCGGGACACTGAGAGGCCATGACAGAGATCTTTAGGCTTGGAAAGAACATGCTGGAAACAGAGCAGGAAAGGAAAGGATGGATAGACTCCCTATTCTCCTTCCTTGCTAAATTAAACCAAGTGTTCCCGAAGCGGGGCTGGACTGAGAGTCACGACACATGGCCCCCTCCTTCAGAATTTCTCCATAGAGCCGTTTGACAGAAAGAGATGCCATCTCAATGGGACAGCAAAGGATGAAGGGTGAGCGGCTTCATCAAAACACTGAGGGGACACAGAACTCTGTGTGACAAAAGGGACCACACATTTCTGAAAGGCCTCCCTGAGGACTCCTGCCACCAGAGGCGCCTAGAGAAGATGAAATGCGGCATGTCTTGGACTAGCTGTGGCCCTGCACAGTACCAGCCACCCGGCTCCTCGGTCCCTGGCAACGAGGCGACAACACATGAGTTATCACCCGCTGTCCACAATGGGTGCTTTCTTGGGCGGGCCCACCTGACCCTGACCCCGGGGCCCTGGGTGCTGCCCAGGAGGCAGTCAGTCAAGAAGCCTCAGAAGGCTTTTAACAGTTTGCTCTGCAAACAAAGCAGCTCTGATGGAGGGTGCGAGGAGAGTTAGTGAAGGCAGTGGCTAAAAAAGCTCCGGGAGTGTCCCTGAGGGTGAGGAATTCTCCACCAAGCAGCTGGGCTGCAGGAATACTTGGGACCCAATCAGCAGGCAGAAGGGGAGCATGGATGAGGGGGGCAGCTTCGCCTTGCAGTCACACTACGACCCCTGCTTCTAGAACAAGCCCCAGAGCACTTGTGCTCCTCAAAAAGGCCTGCGGTCACTATAGACCCAATCCTCAGCTTGACCAGCATTTATCACATGCTGCCTGGGTGCCAGGGACCCTCCTGGCAGCTGGGGACACAGCCATGAATGAAACCAGTTCCTGATTCCAAAGAGGGGGATTGGGGGGCTGGAAAAATAGTATTTCAGGCGCTGAGAAGTGGAAAACAACAGAAGGCATGGTTAGGAGGGGTAGAGTGGCGACTGGACATCATCACGTACAGAATGGACCAGTGCTCCCCTAATGAGAGGATGTCTGAACAGGGAGATGTCTGGAAGGAGCATGCTCCTGGGACAGTGGGAGCAGGGTGCTGAGCTGACAGAGCAGCAGGGGCGAGTCTGGGGTGCACAGGGAGGCCCGTGAATCCTGCTCCCAGCAGATGGGAAAGCCCCCCAGAGCTGGTGCTTTTCTTTAGAGGCTTCCCTGGCTGCTGGGTGGAGAGCCCCTGACAGGGGGAATGAGTGGCTAGGAGGCTGGGGCAATAAACTGGGGGCGCATGGCAGTGAGGCCTGGGGGAGGGAGAAGAGGTGGACAGGGCCGGATCCTGGATCTTCTTAGGGCAAGACCACCAGGCTATATACCACTGCAGCAATATGTGGTGTGAGAAGGAGAGAAGTCAGGGTGACCATGGCATGGCCATCTGCAGGCCCTGAGGCTAGCAGCTGGTACAGGGAGGGGAGAGCAGGAGTATGGCACTGGCCCAGTGAGGTGGGGTTTGGATTCACCTCTCCCCTGCGACGTGTTTGGCAAAAGTCGCCTAGAGCGTGTGTCTTACCCTGGGGTGTGGCGGGGGGCAGACCATTTTGTAACAGGCTAAGCTTTTTGTTCTGAATTGGCCTCAGGGTAGCTAACCCACCCAAGAAGAAACGAGCACCACGGAGAACTGTGATCAAGAGCGGAAACCGGTGGCCACCCTCTGGCCACGTGAGCTTGGGCGACTCCTCTAGCCTCTGCGCTTCAGTCTCCCCATCTAGACAATGGGCTAATAACAGAACCCGGGCCCCACATGCTGTGAGCACTGAACGAAGTGAATTAATGGATGTGAACATTACTGAACAGAAAACAATAAACTTACTCTACTGAGAGACAGACAGGCGGATGCATATGGATGCAGAGCTGTTAACTTTCGCCTTTGGAATCCACTCAGCTGATGAGCAAACCCTCCTGTAGTTTTTAGAGTAACAAGATGGGAACAAGTATATGACGCCAGCCCAACACTAAGCCCGAGAGGACGCAGAGCCCAGAGGGCTGTAAGAGGACGCAGAGGCAGGCAGGAGGAGGAAGAACGAGAAAAGCAAGAGAAGAGAGGAGCTGGAAGAGGAGAGGAAGAGAGCACCAAGAATTCAGCAAAACCAAAGAAAACCAACCAAACTGAATCAGCAAATCCTTCGTAGAGCAGAAGAGGGCCACTCCTCCCCGAGGAGGGGACAGGGGATGGTGGGGACGTGTGTGGAATGGGCTGCCCACCCTAATGTACCTGAACCACTGACCCTAGACTATCAAGGTCCAGAACCTGGGCTCCAGAAGGTTTCGAGGTTGACTGTGATGAGCAGAGGGCATGCTTCTGGGCATTACCAAGAAAACCACCAAACCCTGCCCCAGACACCTCACTTCTCAGCAACCTGAGGGGTTACCGAGGATACACATGGCCCTGGCTACAGCTCATGGGCCAGGGGAACGTCTGGAAGGGTCTTTGCCAGCAGGCTGGTGTGAGCAGATGCACGTGGAGGCCCAGTCTGCATGCTCCAGGCTGCAGCCCACACACTAGCAAGGCCACCAGGGCTCCTCTTCTGGATTCCAGCCCTGTGCCTTCCCTCCTTGTCACTAAGGGAAGTGGGATGGACCCAAGGCAAACGGGCAACCTCAGGAAAGTAAATGCCCAAACCAAGAGGCACTGCTCCTTTGTCGCTTGCTGGCAGACGGCCAACTCTTTCTCTACCCCCACGACCCCGCACCCCTCTACCCGTACTCTGAGGCTGGCACCTACCGTAAGCGGCTCTCCCTGCAGCGCCTGCAGGATGAAGTTGCTGACGACCCGGCCATCGTTCATGTGCATGCGTGGCCCAAAGGTGTTGAAGATCCTGGCCACGCGCACTTCAACGCCTTCCTGGAACAGGAGAGGAGGGTGTGGGATGCCTTCATTTCACCTCGTGTTTCCGGCGCCTAGACCATAAATAAGTCTGAAAACGCCCTGCTTTTCGCTCGCAGATGAGAGAGGCTTTCTGGCTGTGTGTATACAACACGTTCACTAACAAATCTGAGCACTGCACAGAGTTATACCAAACTTGAATGTGTCCCCGATTCCACCCCATCAAGCCACCGGCAGAGAACCTGAGAGGCAGCAAACAGTACAAAGGAAAGAAATGTTTGCTGAACACTTTTTCCCCAGTAAATAAATATCTATTTCCCAAAGAGGACCACGCCGTGCATACTCTTTTATAATCTTCTTCGCATGGTATTTTGCCCAAGTTTACCAGTCAATAGTGATTTTAAATGTCAATGAATATTTAGTAGCTGATGCAAAGAAAAACAAGCAAGGTCTTTATCTTGGAAAAGGAGGGACATACACCCATTCTTAAAGAGGCACACTGCCCTACACCCCCCATCTGTTCCAATGGGAAACAGACTTGTTTTAGTGAAAAACTAAAGACAATGCAGCGCCCCCTACAGGCTACTGGCTACAAGGCCCGGAGAGATGGGTGCCAACATTGAGAGCAGCTGTCTCTAGTGGTTGGATTATAGGTGTTTATTTTCTTCTACGTATTTTTTAAATCTGTTTTTGTTACAATAAATATGCATTACTTTCGCATCAGGAAAAGTATATTTCAAAATATGTAATAAGGAAAGTAGGCTTTTTAAACCCCCAAAGCCTTCTTGAAACTCTCTCATGCAACTGTTAATTTCACAGGCTGCTTCTTTATGAACCAAAAGTTTACACACGTTTTTATCACACTCCAAACTGGTGGACTTTCACAGTGTCCATGTGTCTGATCTGTTTCACCCATCAGACTAGGGACGTGCATTTTCCAGGTGTCTGAGGGCAGGCAGGATGGCAGGGTGAGGCCCAGGGGCTCGTGTGCTCTCCAGCCCCACTTCCCCTAGCTCCGCTGTACTGCACTTGGGAGAGGAGCGGTACTCCCCTCACAGGGGCTCACAAAAAGCCAGTCCCTGCATAACCCTTGGCAAGGGCCTTGTAGTGAGAAACAGTAGTTGCAACTGTTGTCTCTACTCATCCAGAAAGTTTTCTTTTCTAATTCTACCGCTTCAGGTCTGGCACAGGCTGGGATCTGAACGACCCTCAATGAACAGGGCTGACTTAGCACAGACTTTTCCACCGGTGTAATGAGTGAGAGGTGACAAGGTGCAGTGTCTCAAGGACCCATGCGGCCTCCGTGTGGTTGGAGGCACCCGCTGGCCACCTCTGCCCCCAGAAGCCTCATCTCTGCCCCAGTTACTAGACAAACACGAGCAGTTTTTATGGGCACCAAGATCTGAAACGGTCAGGAAGCATGGATCCAGCATACAGCTAGCTCACTTCTAGAAACCAGATGGCTATATTTTTGCTGATTCCTCCCAGCAATACATTATAATGCTCCTGTGAGCTATTCAGAGTTTTAGGATTAAGGTATGAACTATAATCCTAGGTCCAAGATTAAGTCAACTTGTTTCTCTGCTGGACTACCCAGAGAGTATTTCCAAAATGGAGGGTGGAGGCGAAAGGAGAGATCCTGATGCCAACAGAAAATAACTCAAAAAGTATCCACTTGCATTTAATTGTTAAGATGAAGAAAGAATTAGAAGTAGATAAATAGGGTGTTAGTCCAGAAAAAGACTGGAAAAACCTCAACAAATTTACAAGAGTCAAACCAACGTGCCCAGCAGGAGGAAGCTCGATGAGCTACGCAAGGTTTGCAACCAATCAAATGCTTTCCTCCTCTGGACTTCTCTGTCCTCCAGAACCACCTTCCAGAACATGGCCTCATAGAAGCTGCATTCTGCAGACATGAATTGGCCAGTGTACATGGACTTGTTTGTTTTGGTTTTCCTATTTGAACTGTGAACTTAGGTGTTACAGGACAACTTCTCAGGACCAGCACAGCTGCTAGGATAGCCACCATGCTTTTCTGACCACTCCAGCTCTCAAAACTCAAATGAAATAAACATAAACCCAAGGCTCCCTCAACTTAAGACCTGCTCTCCTCTCACACTCTGGCATCTCCTAGAGTTTGTGTACTGCTTCATCAGGACACAAAGGCCACCCCCATTCAGCATGCACAGTTCAGCAGCCCTCATCCCCTGGGATCCTGCAGGGGCCCCAAGTAGGAGGGCAGACCCGTCAGCAGGTACTGGCATGGACGCTTATGGTGACAGCCCAATGGGTGTTCACATCCACACTTGGGAGGAAAGTATAATGATTCCCCATCTCAGGCCTGAAGAAAGGGTCAATGTCTGACCCAAAGCCTGCTTCCCTGAATGAAAACCCAGTAGGTGCCCAATAGGCGGTGATGTCTCTTCAGGAAGACCCTCCTCTGCAGGACCAATGAGCAAACACATGCGCCAACTCTTTATCTCACAGTCAACGTTCCATCTGCTGGGGGCAGGGTCCTGCCGACTACCAGGCTGGGTGCATCTGAGTTTCCACCACGGCACAAGGCCAGGTCTCTGCACACTCGCACACACAACACTGATTCAGGAAAGAACTGCTGGTCATTAAGAATGGTTGGGTTTCACTGTGTCTGTGGTTTTGTCCAGGATGGGGATCAGGAGTCATTCATTCACTTATGATTCCAAGCACCAAGAAGTTTTTATGAAGCATCAGGATAACTCCTCCAAGTTTGAGGCACAGCAACATAGAACATACAACCAGAAGCAACTTCAGAGAAGACAATGCTCAGGGTGCCACTCGAGTCAGTGTATGTCAGCACACATGGGTAAAGAGAACGTGGCCTGCCTGATAACTGGGCTTCAGAAACAGTGGCCAGGCTATAATATTATACAACCCCAACTGGGTGAGCTGCCATCAGAAGGTCTCCTTCCCTATTTCTAGTGCCCAGGAAGGGGGAGCGGTTCAGTAGGCAGGCCTACCGACTGATCAGCCAACAGTAACCCAAGAGATACAGTGATGTTTAGAACAAAGACTCCCCCCTCCCCAGATATCTCCAGAGGACAGAAATATTGCCAGCAGGGATTAAATGGGCTATTCCTCAAAAGCTCTCTTTCAAATGCAATCATTCCTTGGCCAGTACCGTCTCAAGCCATTGGACCACACAGTACGATCACAGTCCCTGTCTTCACTATGGCAGGTACCGGAAAATGGAACACAGAGGCCTCACGTCGGGAGGGAGCAAGTGCTTCTGTCATCCCCTCCGTGGTGCAGGCAGCCTGCCCTGAAGGGGATACCTAAGGCAGGGATGCGGTCAGAGAAATAACAAAAAGGGCTCCCAGGTCCAACAGGCCTAACTTGGTGATGCTTCCATAATCTTCCCCACACACTGGGAGAAGGGCACACACCACAAAAGCAACAGGACCCTGAGACGGTGAACCCTGAACCATGCAATTCTCCCATGGCCTCAACTAAATGCATCCTAATGGGGTCTGCTCCCTCCCTGGGGAGAGGACGGAGGCCGCTACAGAACACAGAGCAATCCTGCTGAGCATGATTCTCCAAGGTGCTAAAAAGCTGTAATCCACTCTCGGTGGTGGCACAGGGACAAGGCCATACCAGGTCAGGGGACAGCAGTTATATGTCCATCTGGCAATCTCCCTCAACAGCTCTGGTTTGGTCTTAACAATCAGTCCAGAGTGCTTGCCACGCAGCAGGCTAGGCCAACACTCACACCAGGGCCAGAAGGGGTCAAGTACTACTCTGCCAGTTTCTAGGCATGGAGGGCAGGTGCTCAGTGAGCAAGCGGCAGAACCGGCAAACAAGGCGACTCTGGGACGTCACCCCAACGGGTGAATACCATCTTCAAACATTTGACTGGAGAGCTGCTTGTTGAATATCTATTTTTTGAACTAAAATAAACATACCAACTATTTAATTTTTTAAAAGTATTCTGATGCCGGGAGCACCTGGGTAGCTCAGTAGGTTAAGTCACTGCCTTCCGCTCAGGTCATGATCTCAGGGTCCTGGGATCGAGCCCCGCATCAGGCTCTCTGCTCAGCAGGGAGCCTGCTTCCCCCCCACTCCTCTGCCTGCCTCTCTGCCCACGTGTGATCTCTCTCTGTCAAATAAACAAAATTTTTTTTAAAAAGTATTCTGATGCTGGAAGATAAAACAAAACCCTTGAGACCCCCGAACTAGATGATTTCTGAGTTTTCTGGCTTTCTGCTCTGCTAGTCTACGGTTTTATGAAGGGTGGCTTGTTTTGCAGACCCAGCCCTGTGGGTGGGCCACAGACGCCAGACAGTCCTACTCACGCAGGGCCAGGAGCTCACATGCACACCAACCACCGACCACAGCATGCAGATTAGTCCCCACATTTATACAAGTGCTGCAGCCAAGGGCACAGAGAAAGTGCACTTTAATTGCTCCCTGGCAAGTTCAAAGGACAGGTTTCTCCTGGTATCCGAAAGTCGCACGTTCCTGTGAAACCCTTCAGAAGCAGGAATGACATATGAAGAAGCAATCACCATCAGCTTCTATGGAAAAAATTTTGAGCTTTCCCAGACCCCCAGAATAGCCTCTCTTAGGGCTTTTCTGATACTGCAGACACATCTTGCTAACATGAACAGATCAGTCGCGATTAAGCTCAGATGCTCACAGACACGCAGGTCAGAGCTCTGACACCTGGCACGATGCTGAGTGGGGCTCCCGGGGATGGGGCACAGGGTGTCACCACCTTGGTAACAGCTCACTGCAAAACAAACTTTGAACACTAGCTTCGCTTTTTGCCTATTTTTGTAAAGGTGACAATCCTCTTTCATTCCATCTCATTCCATTCCCTGGAAGACTCACGGGACCTTCTCTTTCTGTGAAGGACGTGTTTGGAAACGTGTATGTGGGACAGATTTTTCTGGGAAATCCAGTTCTATTTCAAATACGTTAGGGTATTTCCATACATGAAAATGAACTCAGAATTCCGAGAATCCTTTGGAAAAGGGAAAATCTTCCTTTAGATCTTCAGAAAAGTTCTTTAGAAACAGATCCTTAAAATCTTTAGAAAAAGATCGTTCATACCTCTTTTCTTGACTACATTCTCAATCCTTATACACTGGATTTATTCAGAGTAAGATAAAAACCGCATAATATGCAGTCTTCACAATGAAGTGACAACTTACACTTAAGAAAGATGTGTCATGTATAAAAAAAAGAGTTAAAGTTATTAAAATAATTAACTGAAAATATGCCAAAGGATGATGGTTTCCCATTCTCGCTGGTCATTCTTTTTTTTTTTTTTCATTTGTTTCCAGACACACAGCCTAAATTGTACACCCAAAGCCTTGACTCTATCCTGCTATCCCGAAAGGCTGAATATTCTAATTATGAACAGAGCACATCACAACACCGTTCCCTGCTAGCTACCCACACTGTTCTAAGGAGCAGCTGGCAATTTCCAAGTAAACCTGTGTGGACCACTGGCTCTGGGTGTCCTCACTGCCCATGGTCCTTCAGAGGAGCACCAATGTCCTTGGACTTGCAGCTGCATCTTCTCTAGCTGAACCAAGGGCCACTGGCAGCTGCGCAGCCAGGTGTGGGTTCAAACTGTGCTTACTAGCCGAGGAGCTCAATGCAAGTTTTGCAACTACTTTCCAATCTGTAAAATGGGCGACCCATCCACTACCTTAAAAGGGTCATTATGAGAATGAGGTGAGGTTCAACAGATTTGCCCTATAGGCTGAGCCCTAACAGAGGCCAGCGCCCCACAGGCACTCTTCGCCCACGGGGTCCGGGTCCTCCGCAGCACCCACTGCAGCCCGGCACGGCACAGCCTCCAGACTGCAGGGCACCCTGCTGAGCGCTCAGAGTCCAGAAGGGCTACATCCACTAAGAATGAGAGCAGCAAACTTAGAGTTCTGAAAATCAGGCACTTTGGGGTGGGAACCCCAAAGAGGGTCTGATTTGCCCCAGACCAGGCCATTTCCACAGAGGCCAACCCTGACCACCCCCCAACCAGGCCACACCCAAAGGGCCGACATTGACTCCCCAAGACCAAGCCACACCCAAAGGGCCGACACTGACACCCCAAGACCAGGCCACACCTAGAAGGCCAACCCTTACCACTCTAAGGCTAGGCCACTCCCAGAGGGCCAACCCCATGTGGGCAGGAGGTGCTCGACCCACTCTTTCTGGTAGCTAAGACAAAATTCTGAGTAAAACATTTGTTTTAATGATGTAAATGTTTACATTCTCACAATCTTCACAGGGTGGTGTTTATTTTCCTTTATTTTGTCCTTATTTTCATCTCCAGATAGGATTATGGGTAACAACTTCTCTTCCTTCCTACACATGTGTGTTTTCTTACTGTCTGTTCCTGCCACAGAGCAGGAACGCAAACACCTCTCAACCACAGGAAACGCAGCCATGTTTCTTTCCTCCTCCTCACCAAGGGTCCAGACTAAAGACAGAGAGAGCACCCCAAAGGGGCCTGGTCTTGGACCCAGGGCTTTCCCTATAAGGGAGCATAGTATTTGTAAGACAAATACTAGGGGAGGGACGGTGGGAAGCCCGTGCTGTGCCTTCCTCACAGGCCTCTTTAGAGCTGTGATTCCGGCAAGGTCCCAGCGACCTCTGTCCCAGCCCACCACCCTTGACCATGCTGTCCCCACATCAAGAGACATAACCTCCACTTGTCTGCTGGGCCACCACCAGAACTAAAAATGATGTGGTCCCTCCCTGACCTAATGGCCATGTCAAAGGAGCAGGAGCAGTCCTACTGCATCACATCAGGTCAGAAGTACCAACTCACCACAAGAGGCAGGTGGCATTTCTGGATAGCAGTGATCAGAACACTCTCCCAGGCAGACAGGAGTCCCTGGGCAGGTGTGCTGAGCAGTGTGATGAGACTGGATGGATCTACAGATACCAGGTGCTATCAGCCTAGACCCCAAGCTCCTCAAAAAGCACAGAGCCTTGCTTCCCCAAGGCTTTCTCAGACCTAGGACCATCCATGCACTGCTCCCACATGCAGAGCCCTCAGTGTCCCAGGAAGAACCCAATACTGACTTGACCACCATGTGACTCTCCCATCCACACAACAATCATCTGTTCGGGCCTCCTGTACGTGAAGCACATGCCAGACATTCCACAGCAGAGGCAGTAGTCCAGGGAGTGACTGTCCTTCCCAAGGACAGCCCCTGCTATGCAGGGACACCCTTGTGTCGGCACTCTTATCAGGGACACGTAGGCACACACCAACTGTATACACAGGAGCTTCTAATGGGAACATGACTTTACAGTTTTCCGGGCAATGCTGCCTCTGCCATTAACTTCCCAAGACCTCTATGGGCAGAAAGGTAAATGCCGACAGATCCAGATTTTTTGAGATGCTATATTCTTGAGCTCATGAGCCGGCTGACGTGTGCAGATGCAGCGCTGGTTTGTGTTTGAAAAAAGCACCCTGGCTAGTGCCCAGGTGTGTTGCACAGTTCCTGGCATACAGTTAGTGCTCAATAAATGTTGGCTCTCCTATTACTAAATACTACGATTACCGTGAGCACCTACCCTGAGGAAGAAGGTGTTCTCCAGAGACTCACTAGACTCTTTAAATAAAAACTAAGAGATCAATTAAAATGTCCTATTTGCCCACCAGCTTTACCCTATATAAAAACTAAGAAATACCACAAGACTGAAAGCACAAGTACACAGTTGAGAAGCACAACAGTCTTCAAACTTACTCTGTAGTAAAATGCAACATGTGCGCCCTTCAAGCCTTCAGATTAGTTTCCTCAAGCACCAACATATCCAAAGGCTGATCTCCACATCTCAGAGACCTTCCCAAACTGTGGCATCAAGTATTCTGGGCTCCAGACCGATACAGCAATGTCCTTTCCAGAGCTCATTTATGCCTCTTAAAATAAATAGATGATAACAAGCCGGTGGCCCAAAGTAGCTTAGAAAGCAATTAGTTTTTCCTCTGGCTGAGAGAGAAGACAGAATAAATAAACACCTCCATTGGCACAGGATCCTGTGTCTCTAATGTTGGTATTTCATTAAAAATATGAGGAAAAAAGCTCCCGACAACTCTCTTCTGAGAAAAAAAAAAAAGACGCTCAGGGACTCTCAATGACAGGCACATTGACACGCCTCTTCCGTCATGCAAAACACAGGGCTGTCTGAATCTGAGCTCGCCTGCACGCGGGACCCTCAGCCTCAGAATGCTGCTCCCAGGGACAGACATCCAAATCTCTAGGTCCTAGGAGCACAGGCCACACCAGCTGACTCCAGTCTGCAATGATTTGGCCCCATGCCCCTCCCTCCCCCAACCAGAGGGCACGTCCATGAGGGTATCCAAAAGCTGGTCCAAGCTCAGGGACGGTGACCGAAAAAAAGACAGGCTAGTCTGGGCCCTCGCCTGCAGTCACAGTGCTGTGACAAAGGGGTCACAGGTCCAAGGCACACGGAGGCAGAGCCAGGGTGCCTGACACTCCACCTCTCAGTCTTGTGGGCTCCTTCTGCTATAGCATGTGGGTGAGCAGATCCACAACATGACGTCATCCATGGGAGAAGCCCCCCAGTGTGGCAATATATAATTAAGAAATCAGGAAACAGTAGTAAATCACTATAAATAATCTCTAGAAAGATTCAAATTAAATCACAAATTCATTTTTATTCCTATTAAATAAGTCCAAAAAAAGTAAAAAAAATTATTAATAATAAAGTTCACTGATTTGGAGGCTTCAGGAAAACAGAAGCACTTACTAACTGCTGGTGGGCAATCAGGCAATAGAGAAATGTACCTTCAGAGCCATGCAACAGCACTCCACACTGAAACATTTATCTCCACAGGATATTGTTTTTAAAAAAGGACATACACAGGAAAAGCTGTTGATAACACTACTCATTTACAGAAGTGGGAAACTAAGCTTCCCCAGTCACCACTGTCAGGTGGACTTAATCACGGCATTTCATTGCCATATGGCCGCTCAGAGTTTGATGGAACAGACGTTCCACGCGTCTACACCCCAAGTCCCCAGAACCCGGTTCGATACCTGCTTCATGTAGGCATAGCACATGGTCTCAGCAACGCGCTTCCCTTCATCGTAGCAGGCTCGGGGTCCTATTGGATTCACGTGGCCCCAGTAATCCTCACTCTGAGGGTGGACTTCAGGATCTAGGAGTACGGAAAAGTGAGACTGTGTTCATCAGGTTCGTATGCATTCTCAACGATGAATATTTATGATGCTCAAGATTGTTCCAGAAGACCAAGGTAAACATTTACAGATGGGGAGATACCTATCAGTGTGGGACAATCCATTCTGCCAAGTTCCAGAGTGACACACTGCTCTTACGTCTCATATTAACTAAGGATGGTGTTTTACATGGAAAAAAAATAAAAGACCAAGGTCTCTCAAATTCAAGCTTCTCTTCTCTCCCGTAAATCGTTCTTAACATTTAACAAGACTATAATTAAATGTAATCTATGTGAAGGGATATATGGTTCCACTTTATGTTTAAAATATACATAATTATAGTAAAGCATGTACTTACTGAAATGATTTTAAAAGCATCTCTGCAGAACACAAGGACTTTCCCATGTGCCAATAACCCAAGAACAAACTCGAGAGGCTCACTGAGAACCTCAGTGAGACGATTAGTACCCTGGTCAATGTAGGTAGAAGGACAGAGTGCCATAAGGGCTGCTTGTTCCTTTAGCATACATTTTATATTTCCCAATTCCTGTCTTTCTGGTGTGTAAATCAATCCCATTTTACAATGTGCCAAGGGAACAGACTATTTAAAGAAACCGAGTAACAAATTCTTTTGTAACGCAAGTATATTTTTGGAATGTGAATTAAAACCTAACGTATATGGTACATACGGCCACAGTTAAAATGTATAAATCTTTGCCAAGAAATCTGGACAATGTACAGGGACTCTATATGATACATTCAGTTCTTGCTTATCTTAAAGCCAAAATCTGACTACAGCTCATGGGGACAACAGGACCCACGCAGGACAGAGATGTGAACGCACAGGTGCCTGAGCCAGCCAGCCCCCTTCAGGAGGCTGGCAGCCTCCTGCAGTGTGACAGCATCAAGGCACAGATTCTGACCTCTCTAGCTGCTGCTGTGGTTTAAAATTCTCTTAAGAAGGGGGCATAGTTTTCCTGCAGGATCAGAGGGAGGATCCATGGGGAATATTTCCCAAGAGAAGAAAACCAGTGACTTAATTTCACACAGATGTAACAGATGATGGAGAGCAGACTTTTTCTGGGGACTTCTGACAAGAACTGGGCCTCCTAGACTCCAAAGAGACCATCCTAAATTTAGCAAATGGCAAGAAACAGAAGATCAGACACACCCCTGCCTCTGCCCCTTGATGGGCACCCCGGGGCTGAGGTGTCCAGATGCTCAAGGTTCAAGAGATGGTTTTATAAAGTCCCCACATTGTCATTATAAAAGATCTAGAGTCAAAATAGACTTCAAATTTCTCAGCATGTTGTGAGGCTAACCCACCAAGCCCTCATTCCACGATGCATCCGTTTACTGCACTGATCAAACCCCAGAACCGGCCAGTTACACCCTGGGGTCATTTAAGAACCTTTAGGAACATAAGGTGTCATCAAATATGCAGATAATAAATGAGGAAGAAAGCTGGACATGGAAAAACACATCACTGTGTCCTCTTGGACCAATAAGGAGTACCTTCATATTTGAGACATTTAAAAAGCTTCAGCCCTTTGAACTGTATCAACACCACTCCTCTTGTGACACAGGAAGCAAAGGGGAATCCTCCCACGCTCTATAAAGGGAAACACACCAATCCCTTGGGAAGTCTGGCTCTGGGAAGGACAGGATGGGGGAACGCAAGTCCATTCAATGCCTGTTCCAAAAGCAACGGGGCGAACAGGTTGGCGGCGGCTGCTTTTAGCTGCCCAGATTTCAAAGTGGATGATGCTGTCCCTTTTCACGGGGATTACAAAGACTAGAACCGCACTTAGCAGAATTTGTTTCTATAATTTTTTTTCACTTAATTCCCTTATTTAAAAAAACAACAACACACATCTCTTGCTATTTTGTCCCGACTTCCTCACTTCTCCACCCAGAATAACGACGCGCAGCAGACGAATTACACCACGTCAGAGTCCAGCTTCCGCTACGTCAACTGAGCAGCTCTCCATGATGCTGCCGCAGCTGGTCTGGGGCGGAAGAGAAATCAACATGAACCGCACCGCAGCCCTCGCCCCAGTCCGAATGCTGGCCACCTTCACGGGCCTCACTCACACACTCAGGAGTTTTCCGGCACTACCTACTTAAGACTGTTCCAGAAATCACTACACAACAGGTCAGGCAATCAGCACCTCTCTCTGTGCAGCAAGCTAAGGCCAACCTCGGAGATCTCGGTGGGTCAGGCTCACCACACCCACCGCCCACCCCGAAGAAGAACAAGGATCAGCTAAACCAACTGGCAAAAGAAATCCCTGACCAATGATCCCTGGGGTCGGTCCTTTCAGAGCAGACTGGGAAAAATACTTCAGTGGGTTCGTCCATGGCAGGGCCTTAATGGCCGGGGGACAGGATGGGGTCCTCGGAGCGTGTTCCTCCGCAGGAGGAACGGGGGTTCGGCCCACTGAGAGCAGACATGGATGGCTGAGCTCGGAAGTCTCTCCGCTGCCTTGCGCACAAACAGGGAGAGCAGACGGGGCCTTCTTACAGCGGAAGCCTGGACTCATTTTTGCTTCCTTCTTCACGTAAGGCAGTCCGGTGGGCCCGAGAGCCAGTGCCCCTGTGGGGACCCCCCACTCACCTCCATACACCTCCGAGGTGGAGGCCAGCAGCAGACGAGCACCGACTCGTTTGGCCAGTCCTACAGAAAGCAAAGGTATAGTCAGAGAGGCTGTCAGCTTCGGGGAAACGAGGGGATGACACGAGCCTGCTCATTTTTGTAGCCAATTTATGCAATTTTTTAGTAGGAATCGTATCTAATCATTTGTGCACTGTGAACCATCCCCTTGTATTGAACCGACGTTGGCACCAAAATAAAAACAAAAAAGTAAGAAAAACGCAAATGAACCCTGAGAAGCACAGTATTTAGTCGGATAGTGGTAAGTGGAGGCAGGGCCAAAAACGAGTCTGTTAGTCTGGGAAGGTGTGGATTCAGGGTTACCACTGATAGGCAGAAGGCAAGGCCTTTTGCACCCTCACTTCTAATGCACCCCCTGCAAGTTGGTCCACCTGCCACTTCCTCCACAAGTCACCGGGCACCCGAGGGTGCCCGAGCCAGTCTCCCCACTCCCCGGCCCCTCTAGCCTGTCCTCCTGCCTCCTTCGAGTCTCAGCGTCAATGGCTCCTTCTCCAAAGCAAGTCTCCACATTCCTGTGTCCAGCTTTGAACTGTGTCCTGCGTGAGACCCCTGCAGGGAGAACAAGCTAGAACATCGTGCTCTATGGTGGTCATGTAGGTATGGAAAGTCCTCCAGACACAAACTCCCAATGTTAAGCAGTTCCTCAGAGGCTCACGGCCATCCTGAGTCAAAGAAACCCACTGCCCTTTGCTTAATCCGGGGCCTCTCGAATGTACTCCCCCAGGGAGCCTGTGTGCACAGACATCACCAGCCTGAGGGGCCAGCTGTGCTGCACACAGAGCTGCCTGTGAAAAGCTGGGCATGCACGCGCCACCTACAGACACTGCGAGGGGTGGCCGGTGACCTAGAAAGGCCCCACCGTGCAGGGCCCAGGGCGGCGGGTGTGGGAGCACCAGGTGAGGGAAGTAAGGAGCTGTGAAGACAGAAGACCAGCAACAGGAACAAGAGAATTGGGCTGCTGAGCAGTAAGGATCTGGAGATCATCTGTGCAAATGCCACAGCGCAGTGGAATAAAAAATGTTAGAGGAACGGAGCACAGTATGCAATTTATAGGCTTTATAATTTATACCACGATGCCAGGAATTTCAAAAGGAAGGGGCCCGAGCTGGGTTTTTTGGGTTTTTTTTTGGCAATAAACTTCTGAGATAACTACAGATTCATATGCAGTCATACAAAGCAATACAGAGGACCCTTTACCATGTACCCTTTACTGTGAACCCCCTCAACAGTAAAAACCTGCAGAACTAGCGTATGGTATCACAAGCATGACAGTGATGCAGATACACTCAGGACAGAGACCTGTCCATCACCACGAGGACCCCTTGGTGGGGGAGCCAGGGGAGCCCACGTGTGCTGCTGGAGTGCCCAGATGTTTATGCAGAGACCAGACAAAGGAGTCTCACCCTGAAGAAGCCGAGTGCAGGCCCAGGGAAGTAGGGAGCCGCAGAAGGGGAAGGGGCCCACCAGGAAGGAGCCGCGTGGGGTTCACTACATCTTGTCTCAGGTGTGAAATGATTAATGACAGCGTCTCTCTCCATTCAGGATATGAAGTTCTGCTTGGGTCACTGAGGCCCAGCAACTGTCCCCCCGACCTCGGCTTTTGTCCCCGTTGTTCCTGAAAGGAGTTTACCCTTCCTTCCAGACTTCCGAGTCCGATCTCGGCCATGGCTCAAGGGTCTCTTCCGCCTGGAACTCTAACAGCGTTCCCCGGAAAGGTCCCTTCCTCCTCCATGCCACTGGTGCCTGGTCCCTATATCACCTCCTCCAGGAAGCACCAAGGCCAAGTTCCCTGGCAGAAGAGCCTGAGGATGATCCTTGAGGACAGGACAGTGCCTCAGACACAGGGATTGCTCCATGAACACCATCTTCTTAAACAGCCAGGGCTTCGTGGCCTCTCCCCCGTGGCATCTAGCTCAGGTAAGAAGGAGGCAGCTGGGGGAGCCAGAGAGTGTGGGCAGGGGCAGGAGCCGGCGGAGGCAAGAATGGGCAGCAAGCAGCTTTCCCAGCGTCTTAGCTCTGAGCAGAAGTGGTACTCTGTTTCCTCTGGTGGCCAGGGCAGGTCGCAACAAAGAGGAGAACAAATGCCCTTTCTAGACTAGGGGAATGAATCACTTTACTTCACGCAGAGCTTGACCCCCCAGAATCTTTAGTCTGAAAGATCAAAAAACCAATCTCCGGCTGCCCTTTCAATCCCTTGTCTCCAGGCTTAAAATTTAGTGCTGTATTTTCCAAAATCCATTTATAGAAGCTCTTTTAAACGTTCCCATAATTAAATCCATCTCCACTTGACATTTTAAAAAGTTCCTTTTTTCTCCTTTGCAACTCATCAGACCCTAGCTTTTGAGACCCGTGTCAAACTTCAGATGTCTCTAATTTAAGCATTAATAGGTATGGGTCACCACAGCTATAAATCTGAGGCGTGTTGTTTGTGAACGCGCATGGACGGCCACCTTTACAGTGTTCATGCTGTCACCTTTCGCCTTCAACGTGAACCCCGCAGTTCAGTCTAGACGCGGGGACTCAGCTTGGCCAGCCCCATCACGTCGGCTAGTCTTCTGCTCCTCCCAGGAGCGCTCCTGACACCCCGGTGTGTGCAGTCCACAGTGGCCCAACCCTGGGTCAGAGTCGCCAGTGCCTCTTCCAGCCCAGAGGCCCACATATCATGTCACAGGGGAAAGGGAAGGATGCGTGGCATACTGACCGGTGGTCACTCCCAGGGGATTTAACTGAGGCCATGCTGACCGGGTACTAGGACGACCGTGTCCCCTGGCTCATAAGGCACTCTGAAAGAGCATGGACAGGGGATGAGGAAGGGGTCTACAGACCAAGATCAAACTGACAGAATGTCAATGACCTATGCGTGGAATTGTCTAGAACATTCCTAGCAAGCACTGCAAAATGAGGAAAGGACAACTTACCTAGCATGTTTAGTGTCCCGATGGTATTGGTCTTCAGGGTCTTGATGGGGTTATACATGTAGTTTGGAGGGGAAGCTGGAGAGGCCAGGTGGTATATCTGGTCAACTAAAGGAGACAAGACCGGAAGTCTGTGATTTCCAAGGATAACACTAAAAACATTCTGACTCCAAAGAATCGGGCTATACAACAGAGGCATTTCTATATTTTTCACTTAAGTTGTCATTGTTACTCTTTCATTCTTCATAAAAACGAATCTGCTTTTGTAATTAGAAGAATTTTAAACAAAGACAGAAAGTCTGTCTGGGCCTATTCTCTTCTGATCAGAGGCGATCTGATTACAGAGTTGACTGTTTCTGAGATCTGACCCAGGCACAGCATGAAAATAGGAAGGAAGACCGATTTTCCAGACACTGAATGAAGCACAACTATCTAAAGCAAACAAGGTTTTTAATTTGTGAAGCCAATCTGACATAAAAGCACTAAAATATGCTTTAGTTGCTTGGTTCTCACATATTTTGTGTCCATAAACCCGGACCCTGAGATAACAGTTGGAGGGTTGTTTTTGTTTGTTTTCACTGACATCATTTATTGAGGATCTGCTCAGTGGCTCATGAGCAAAGAGACACCCTGAAGACCAAGGCTGAGAACAAGACTTCAGGCATCAAACGCCTATCTCAGGAAGGACACAGACAGAGATACAATGACAAACTGCCAGCTCTGGAGGATCCTGGTCTGATGAAGGTGCCTGGGCGAGGGGTCTGGTCTCTAGGTGGACCCAGCTGTGGGGAGAGATGAGCAAGGAGCTCATTCACGCTCAGGCTACTTGGGAATGAGGGTGCTGTGCACCAGGGATGGGAAAGGACAAGAATTTCTGCAGAGGCTCTGAAAGGTCTAAGTGACAAGTTTGGTATGGCAACTGCGTATGAGACTTTAAATACCAGGGTAGAGTACAGACTTGCGCCGATAATGAAGACTGCGGAGTTCCAAGCAGGAGACATTTTGAAGATACAGGTTTTGACAACCAACACCAAGCAGCAGATAATGCATCATAATTATTATCATGACTTTGAGGGTAAAGTGCCATTATTCCTGTTCTACACAAGAGATTAAGAAGCTTGCAGGTGGAGCAGCTGAATAATGACAATGCCTGGATTTGAACCCAGTTCAACAGGCATCCAAACCCAGAGCTTTTCGAGCATTATACGGTACTGCCATCAGTAGAGCTAGATCGGGAGAGTGGTTTTTAAGGCTATGGATGGCAAAATGACTGGGTTCTCCACAACTCCCCTCCTGCACAGGAGTTCGATGTGAGCCATCCCCAACCCTTGTTCTCCAGGGTCAGACAGCACTGGCCACAGAGGAGAGAGGCTCCTGGGAAGCAACGTCTCCCTCTGAAATAGCAGGGATGAAGAAGCACATATCAGAAGGCCATCCCTGCAGACAAATGATTCTGTGCCGTGCACAACATTCCACTTCAACTCTGGGTGAGCAAAAACATCATCACCATCACAGTGAGCCGAAGGACGGGGGATCCGAGAAAGACGCTGCTGCCAAAATGAACCCTCCTTGTACACGGCCTCAGCCCCTATGCAAGAGGGCCTGCGGGGATCTCCCTGGCCTCCCACCATCTTCCCAGCCAGGCACCACTGCTTTTAGGTAATGGCACGTTAGGGGTTGGGCTTCAGAAACAACAGGCAAAACAGGCCAACGGGGAAAAATAGTCCCCATGGTGAATTCTCCAACAGAACTTTCTCAGAACATCCCCTCCCTTCCAAAAATGCCCAACCTCCCTAACCACACCCGCTCACCACATCTCCCCCACTGAAAATCTCCTGTCATGCCCAGGATGGCATGGTAATCACCGCAGTACCTTCTGGGGCAGTGGAGTGGCTTCTGGACACACTCTCCCACCCAGGGGTGAGGGCTGGATGGCCGGTTCTTATCCTTGGATGAGGGATAGAAGTGGTCACTCAACGTAGGAGCACGATATTCTAGGCTGTGAGCTTGGTCTCCACTTAATTCATCCTAATTATTTCAGTCTTTCAAGACCAACACAACTGGGAGGCTCAGTACACACGAGCCACAAAGACGAGGACAAGGGGCAAGCCAGATGATTCTATCTAGCAGATAGCATCTTTGGGAAGGGATTCTAGGTAGTGCAATAGGCTCATGGAACAACCAGTAATGGTTTTTCCTATACCGTGACCATTCCTCAAGGGAGGCAAGAACAATCTGTAAAAGACTGTAGGTCTCATCTTCTAGATATTTATGAGGTTTTTTTTTGGCTAAGACTATTCAGGCCAACTCCTGAAGTGATTGTTTTAAAAAGTCTTCTACCTAATCCTCAACAGTGATTTTTGCAGAAACAGAAAAAAAAAGAAATCATCCTGAAATCCATATGGAATTTCAAGGGACCCTGACTAGTCAAAACAATTTTGAAAAAGAACAAAGTGGGAAGACTTAGATTTCCTGATTTCAAAACAATACAAAGCTACAGTAATCAAAGCAGTGTTACTGGCATAAAGACAGACACAAAGACCAATGGAAAAGGATATGGAGTCTAGAAATAGATCCTGTGTACATGGGTCAATGATCTTCTACAAGGATACCAAGCCATTCAGTGAAGAAAAGTAACAGTCTCTTTAACAAATAGTGCTGGGAAAACTGACTATATAAAAAAGAAAAAAAGTTACATCCTATCTTACACTACATACAAAAATTAACTTAAAATAGACAAAAGACCTAAATGTAACACCTAAAACAATAAAACTCTAAGAAGGAAACAGGGAAAAAGTTGCAGGACATTGGATTTGGCAAAGTTTTCTTGGATGTGACACCGAAAGCAAAGACAACAAAAGTAAAAATAGAAAAAGGGAACTATGTCAAGTTTAAAAAATTTCTGACAGTATCAAAGGACATAATCAACAGTAAGAAAGCAAACTACACAATGGGAGAAGATATTTACAAGTCATATATATGAGAAGGTGTTAATATCCAGAATATATAAAGAGCTCCTACAAATCAACAACATAATCGAAGAACTCAAAAAATGGCACAGCACTCGAAGGAGTAATTTCTCCAAAGATGAAATACAAATAGCCAACAAGCACATGAAAAGCTCAACATCACTAATCATCAGAGAAAGGCAAATCAAAACTATAATGAGGTATCACTTCACACCCACTGGGATGGCTACTATCAAGAAAAAAAAAAAAAAAAAAGAAAGAAAAGAAAACCCAAAATAGCAGGTGCTGTTGAGGAAATGGAGAAAGTGGAACTTTGGTGCACTTCGGTGGTGACATAAAATGGTGCAGTCACTATGGAAAACAGTATGATGATTCCTCAAAGTACTAAAAATAGAATTAACGTAAGAGCAGGAATCCCACTTGTGGATACATAACCCCCAAGAACTGAAAGCAGGGTCTCTAAGAGATACTGGCACAGCCATGTTCATAGCAGCACTATCCACAACAGCCACCTGGTAGAAGCAACCCAGGTGTTCATGGACAGACAGATTAACAGATAAACAAAATACAGTGCGTGCATGTGTACACACACACAGAGTGAAATGTTATTCAACCTTAAAATGAAAAGAATTCTGTCACATACTACAACAGGGATGTACTTTGATTACATGACACTAAGTGAAATAAGCCAGTCACAAAAAGACAAATCCTGTAGGATTCCACTTGTATGAGCTGGTCCCGGGGCCTGGGGGAGGAGCATTATTGTTCAATGGGTACACAGTTTCAGTTTTGTAGGTGAGAAAGTTCTGGATATCGGTTCTAACACAGCATGTTTAACAGGACTGGCTAGTACAACTGAAAATGGTTAGGACAGCAAAACACAAAATAAGATACTCATGAGCAGTAAAAGCAGATGAAAAGAGTATTAGTGGAAAAAGGGTGTGACTTTTACTAAGGCTGAAGTCAAAATGAATGGTCTGGGTTTATGTATCTGTTCTCCTCCCTTTCTCTACCCCAGGAATCTAAGAGCTAACATCAGGCTCCTGAGCCAGTCATTCAAGGTCCTCAGTCAGTCCCTGTTATATAGCAGTTACCCCGTGAGTCTTCTGAAGGGGGGTTATCTGGACCCCTGGCATCCAGATGCAGACACTCCCGGTGGGGAGACTCTATATAGATTTGTGTGTATGTATACACACACACACACACACTTTTTTTTTTTTTTTTAAGATTTTATTTATTTATTTGACAGAGAGAGAGGGAACACAGGCAGGGGGAGTGGGAGAGGGAGAAGCAGGCTTCCCGCTGAGCAGAGAGCCCTATGCGGGGCTCGATCCCAGAACCCTGAGACCATGACCTGAGCTGAAGGCAGAGGCTTAACCCACTGAGCCATCCAGGCGCCCCCCACACACACATTTTAAAGCCACATTTGAAAACTACTAATCTAAAAACAGAACCCATACTTTTGAAAGGCCAATCTTTCTTCAAGAAAACTAAGAAAATCCCAAACCTTTTGACATCGTTTATAGTCTTAACATGGAAATTCATTAAGAGTCTCTATCTTAACGAGAGGAAAATCCTGTGAATGCTTTCTGACCGCCCTCCGCCCAAATCATTCTGAATTGAACCACTGCTAAAAATAAAAAGCAAACAAAAAGTTTATTGTGTGAGCTGTAAGTTAACAAGCCAGGTGTCACAGAAAGCCACCCTTCTTAAGCTGTGTTACCCTCTGCGCAGCTTACAGACGGGACTGGTAAGAGCATGAGTCTGTCCCTGCTCACCTGCTTCTGAGTTCAAGGACAACAGGTGTATGCAGCAGCCCACCAACTCCACACGCACATGTTGCACCTTCTGTCTGGAAAATCCCTCATTGCACCCCAGTGCTGCTCCCAAGCAGGAGGGGGCCAGACCCACCACAGACTAAACCCGGCCAGGCCTTCAGAGCTGAGCACCACCCCGGAGAGCACACAGCCGGTGTGCCTGGCCTCTGGAGCTGGCTCCCTTCTTCCCAAACACCATTTAAATCAAAGGTATGGGTTGTGATCTCACAGAACAAATCACTTAGCACTGTTTTTACTCTGGAGGTGATAAGACCTGCAACGAAGTAAGTCAGTGCCTCAGAGACTAGAGAAAAAGGGGACC